AACAATGATAGGGGAAGCAACTAATAAAAAGGATCCAAGCTGAATTTTAGTGAGATGAAGGTCTGCATGATAGCATCAGCAAAATCTTGTTTTCTCTAAATAGATCACATTAACTTACCCCTTTAAGTTCGTTAAGTTTAGTATGAAATGCTAACAATGATTCTAGTATCAAGGCAGTTAGAACTGCATGGCCTCCTGCCGCCATTACTGGTTACACTTCTACCTTCCCATTGTTATTTGTCCTTGAACAATGAGGACCACTATCATCGAGGCATATTTTGCTTTGATTATCGGTGCGGTAGTTTATGAACCAGGAGATATTTTGACCTGATAACCACAGGTGCAAATTATTAATAATGGTTGCATTGGTATTGGGAGTGCTGGCTTAGAACTGGCAAAACTAAATAAAATGGAGCCATTGTTCATCTTATAAGTTACATCTGTGCTTTTCCTGCTTTGACAAAAAAAAGTCAAAAGCTTTATAACCCTGCATGAGCTTTTGTGTTTCATTAAAAGCCAAACTGTTAAAGTATCATGTTCTTCCTCACAAAATATTTACCTGGTAGTTCGAGTGACGTAAGAAGTAGTCAGGACATCCCGCTAAGGCCATGGTGTTCCTTCAGTGTTCCCTCTGTAGGGAATGACCCCCTCTGGTTTCACCAGCACCCTGCACATGGAGAAAGGACACAGCACAGAAAGAAATGAATGAAAAAGAAGAAAGAAAGCACCAAACACTAATCTGAACAGAAATTACAGGAAAAAACACAAATTCACAAAACAAACTGAATGATGAAGGAAAACATGAAAGGTAATGAGGCAACTCACAAACAAGAAGTGAATTACCAAAACTTGTTGTGATCTGTGCTTAACGCCATGCAACAACTTTGTAAAACTGGTATTTATTTGGTATGCCTAAAGACAAAACGCTTAAACCCCTCTCTCTGCTCAAGAGAAAACAAAGCCTGCATGTGCAAATGGATGTGCATGCATGGATGAACATGTGCACACCGAATCCAATGTAAACACAGCCATTGTGTACAACAGACACACACACACACACAAGTCAGTTCCCAAACAAAGCCTGGGGCTTAAGACTAAATAAGAAACCCTCTCCACCTGCAGACTGCTATGGAAGGCGAAGCCTTTCTGAAGGAACTTGAAATAGGAGTCGGCTATTGCCACTGCATTGTGCAGCATTATCTGCTGTGAGTAAGCAGGGGGAAGCTGTGTGTGTTGAAAGAGAACGAACACACACACACACACACTGCAATACATTTCCATTTCAAGCTGTTCACCGTGAGGTTTTATGTTGCTCTGAGCATTAAAACTACAGGAAGCCTTTGTAAATCAATTAATTTTGCTGCATTGCATAGAGGGAAGTTGGCTTTAAGAGTGTCAAAAAAACAACAATTATCCAACTTGCAGTTACACCCCAAAATTAATTACAACCACTTAAATATGAAGATAAATGGGTTCCTTGGGCCTGCATGATGTCGTTTTGGAATCAGATTTCTATCTCCATTTGTTTCATTGTTTTGGCTGGAAAGTCTTGTCCTCGCCTGTTGGTGCAAATCCCAGATTACCATCAAAATCTAATCAACAGTTCCCTTTAACCACTCCTATCTGCCCACCCAATTTTATGAAAAACTGCAATAACATTTTAGAGGTGTCCAGCTCAAAAACTGGATTTTTCTCTCACTTCAAGAAAAATAGGAACCCTCCACACAGGTAGAAATGACTTGTTAAGATGGATATTACTGTAGCCCACATTCAAATTTCTGCAACCGATACTGCTTCCAACAAAGGTTCGGCAAACTGAATCCACACACACACACACACTGAACTCTGCATCTCTCTCACTAAATAGCTCCTCTCACTTTTTGACTCTGCTGGTTTCTCTTCACTTTCTCTCCCAGCATGTCTCCATTGTACAGGTCATTATATAACAGATATCAGATGGTTCAAACAATATCTCTTCCTCCTCCTCCTCCTCCTCCTCTCCTCTTCTCCCTCTCTTTTCACCCCACTAATTACTGTTTCCACTGGGGCCCTGCTATCTTTAGGTCGCTCTGCTGACTGAGAATCTGTGTCTAAATGTGTGTGCACAGTTGCACACAAACAGCCTCTCCGATGCTGATAATTGCACACCTTTTTTTTCTTATTATAATTTTTTACTGCGACAGAGCAGTTTTATATCTCAAACGTTCTTGCATAGGCTTATGCGAGTGTTTACAACAATCAAACTGCTGGCCAAAAGGGCAAGCGGGGCTGATCTTATGTGTGGCTAATAAGGCTGAAAGCAAAGCCAAAGCTCCAACTGCTTGACATTTGTTGACATTTGTGGTTCCTCCTGCAGAGAAAAGGAGTAATTCAGCTTTACTGGTCATACGGGGAGATCTAGAGAATTAAATGGGGCAGGGAGCAACTTAATAATGCCACACGTGTGAGTGTGCGTGGCTATAACACACCACACTCTTACATCAAAGTACAAAGGAGCTCAAATGCTGACATTGAGTGGATTTCAGTAGCAGGTTTTTAGCGGTAATGACTGCACTGCAACGTCACTAGTGACAGCCTCTATAATGATATACTATCCATATGCACCTGTATCTTCTACACAGTAGTCTAGGTCTGCCATTCAGAGCCTCTTATAGGCCTCAATGTTACCTGATCCTAAACAAATCTGTGGTCTTCTTTATGCGCCAGGAAGAAAGAAGGAAGTTTAGCAGTGTGCAGAGATTAGCCTACATTAAGTCACAGCTAATGGAGCTTTATGACAGACCATCAACACACACGCAAGTACACACTCAGCCAGCTTATCCTCCCTGATGCAGCCGTTCCTCTATGTGCTGTGGGTTCAGATAACTCCCATTTAAAGTGGATGAAACCAAAGTACAGTTACAGTGAGGAAATCAAACAGTCCCTGCAGAGGCTTTCTGACACTGATGGAACATGTAGACTAACGTGTGTGTGTTTTCAGGAGTTTTGTCAGTTTTGTTTCCTTCCACCATCACTAACACAGTCTCAGCATGACTGCAGTGATGAAGTGTTAGGAAAGAACTTCGTGCTCCAGCTGGTGATCTCAAACACATCTTCCACAGATGCATGCTCTGTATCGTTTAAATGTCTTCATGTTTTACTTTACCTGCAGTGGGTTTGACAGACTTCTGGATAAGTACGGTGACTCTGGAGCTCATTTCACAGCACAAAAAATGCCAATAAAGTCTTATTTCTGCCCATAAAAGCGTTGGTAAAGTGAGTCACCATCCCTGTGCATGAGCAACAAGCTTCTATAGGAAGAATGTTTGACACCGATATACCATATGCGTGATAGACCGAGGTCCAAACAAATAAAGAAGTGCTTACGGTAATCAAAGGGCAGGACGCGGCTCAAAGATCGTGTCCAGGACGCGCGACGGAGCAGGACCCGGCGCGCTTCGACTGTCCTCGTCTGGATCGCCACACAAACTGCCTCCCCCCAACAAAACTCTGTCCGCTGCTCTGTTGTCTTCACCTTGTCTGCCCCCCCCCACCCCCACCCCCCCGAAGTGCTTTCCTTGCACGCGTACACACCACGTAAAACGCACGCTCACACCCGCACACATACGGAGCACACATGCACAGATCTCGACCTGCCACTTTTCGACCAGCTGACTTTCCCGCTCTCTCTCTCTCCAAACACACACACACACACACACAGTCACACGCACACTCACTCTCTCTCTCTAAAGGAAACCTCCTCTCTCCGCCCCGCCCTGTTCACAGCAGCACACTGCAAAAAATAAATCTTTTTTTTGGTTTTTTTACAGCCTGGTGCTCAGCGGATAAATCTAATGTTTGTCAAAACATATAAGAAAATAAAATACCCTTAAAGAGTTTTCACTACCTTTCTGAGGCCATTTTCGTTTTATTTTAAAATATTTTTTTAAACTCGAAATAATTGTGAAGGTTGACATTTTTTGCAGTGTGTCCAAGACCTGCCTTTAACCCTTGGAGCAGCGGGAGGCCTCTTCTCCTCTCTGCGATCTGAAGTGATTCAATCATTAGTGTCATCCATCCATCTGTGTCACTGCTGCAGGTGTATGTACACGCTCCTCTGTAGCCTGCAGCGTATGTCCTTAATGTCAAATCTCACTACACATTTACAAAAACAGCCAAACCCTGAGTTCCTCGAGGCGTAATACAGCCTGTTTTCCTACACACTTCACAGCCCGTTCTCCTTACCAGGTCATCAAATACAGACACAAGCAGTGTTCAGTTAGTTGCAATCTGCAACTTCACCGTGAAATGTCACAAAATACATGCTGTTTTCCGAGTGGCTATCATTTTTGTCCAAATAAAGTTTGCATGGATTCGGTCATTGTGTAGGCGCATAGTGGGATTATTCAAGTTCAAGTTTTTTGGACAAATGGTTGGAGGACAAGAAGTTTGAAACATGGTGGCTGAGTCCATCTCTGGAAATAACCGTAAGGCGTACTGCTCTGTGTCGGAAGGTGATGAGTGTAGGCTCGATGGGGACCACAGATGCAGTCAGCAGGGGCCAGATCCTGAAACAGACTTTACAAAGTGCTTTGCAATTAAGGATCAAATGAAAAGAACTGACTAAACAAAGAATATTTTACTATCATTATTTATGTCCACCTCATCATTGCACCTGCAACTCTTGGAAACTACCCTGGTCTGACGTCTGTGTGAGGTGACACATTCTCCTTTTATAAATACCAGTTTATGTTTGGGAAAAGATGTACAAATGTACACATTGTTCTACATCTGGCCTCAGCTCTCTATTGCATAGCTACTACAATGGCGGCTGCTTCAGCAGCTGAATTACATTGATACAGTGGTCCAAGGAGTTATCACAAACTGAGACAGTTAAAATGTGCTATCTTATAATCAATAAATGTAAGTTAAAGAGTGTCACTGAGGAAACCAATTAGAACTCAAAGGCGACATAGCTAGTCACTCACTGTAGCAACGTTAGCCTGACTTTCAGTCCTTAGCTAACGTTAGGTGGCTGCGACTCTTTTCTGCACTCACTGTCTGGAAGAGGGTTAGGGAAGAAAGGATGAAAGGGTCTTAGAAAGAAAGTGGAGAACTTAGACAATGAAGAGCAAAGAGGGACTCAGTAAAACTCTGTAGAGCTGACCGCCCTCCTTATTCATTTGGCGGTGCTTTTATTCATTTTAGTAGCCAGCTAGCTAACTGACTGCTAACTCTCTCTACTATTGGATGGATTGCCAGAATGTGTGGTACAAATATTCACATTCAAGATGAATTGTAATAACATTGGCGATCCACTGACATTTCATATAGTGCCAATATCAGGTCAAAAGTTTGTCAAAATTTAAAATACTTTGGTTTGTGATGAAATACCTGCAAAGCTAATGCCACTCCTGCAAATTTAGTGCTAATTAGTAAGCTAACATTTGTGTTAGCTCTTAGCTCACAGCCTTGCTATGTATAAATACAGCTTTACAGAGCCACTAGCACGGCTGTAGACTCTTTGTCTCGCTGCAACCCCGCCTAAAACCCCCTGTAAAACAATATTAAAAGAGAGATTAAGTTAAATTTAGTATATCTATCCTCAGAGCCACACACTCACACACATGAATTCTCCAGTTTGATTTTAAATGTCATCAATATTTGGCCTTAGTAGCTGAACGTGAT